CAGTTTCAGAAGGCCATATAGACAGCACACGTGCTCAACTGCTGGCCTCATATTCTTGTTATGTGAACAAGTGGAAATGCTCAGAAGTCAGGATATGTGAGTCTGGAAGCAAAGGGGGGCGCTGGCATGCCTCTCCGCCCTGGGCAGTGAAGCCCCCACCGTGATATCGCTGGACACAGTTGGGAAGAGACGTGCCATAGAGCAGATCATCTTCCCACCATAAGTAACCTCAGGAGCATGGATAATAGTGAAATAACAAGGAAACAATGAGGTTGCGTACTTATACCTTTGCCTTAACATAATTTTCTTAATTGTTAAGTTCACATCATTTAACTTTAATAATGGCTGGGTTTAATAACTGGCCCTCAAAATTCCTGATGATTGAACAACCAGCTCTCAGGAGCTTACCACTCAGTAAGAGCCTTGGGAGCCAAGGCCGACCGGAGTTCACTGGGTCACCTTTCCTGTCTGCCCTCCACCTTCCAGGCATCCTGACACACCCCTCCTGGAGTGCGAGTGTCAGGCTGGGCCTCGAAAGGCCAGCCTTCTCCTTCCAAAGGCTTTGCAAGCTGTGTTGTCTGTCCCCAAATGCAGTTGGATGCCCCTTATTTCCAAAGTCAGCAGGGGGCCCCTCACCGTTGCCCCCAGGTTTCTCATTTTGGAGCATGAATCCATGAAGGGCAATACCTCAGCACCCAGGTGACCATGGCTCCTGGTCACTCAATCACCTAGGGTTTGGTTCACATAACAAGTGGTGGCACTGAGTGCTGTGTGTTGAGGACAGGCTTAAGGACAAGAGGGGTGACCACTCCCCAGGGAGGGCTCAAGACCCAAAAGATGAGGTGTGAGTTGCACCCTGAAAGAGGGGACAGGGGAAAGGCAGAGGCCTTTGGTGAGCCACACAGGGCCCTAGTCTGACTCAACAAGTTTCCTATATTTTAAAGACAAGATTTCACTTAAGAATCTGAGTTTCTAACTTGTCTTGAAAGTCTGAGGCCTGGGCGCCTGGGTGGCTCAGTCGGTTAAGCGACTGCCTTCGGCTCAGGTCATGATCCTGGAGTCCCGTGATCGAGTCCTGCATCGGGCTCCCTGCTCAGCGGGGAGTCTGCTTCTCCCTCTGACCCTACCCCCTCTCATGTGCTCTCTCTCTCTCATTCTCTCTGTCTCAAATAAATAAATAAAATCTTTAAAAAAAAAAAAACAAACCTTGGGGCGCCTGGGTGGCTCAGTTGGTTAAGCGACTGCCTTCGGCTCAGGTCATGATCCTGGAGTCCCGGGATCGAGTCCCGCATCGGGCTCCCTGCTCAGCGGGGAGTCTGCTTCTCCCTCTGACCCTCCCCCCTCTCATGTGCTCTCTCTCTCTCTCTCTCATTCTCGCTCTCTCAAATAAATGAATAAATAACATCTTTTTTAAAAAAAAAGAAAGAAAGAAAGTCTGAGGCCTGGAGTGCCTGGGTGGCACACTCTTGATTTCGGCTCAGGTCTTAATCTCAGGGTCGTGAGTTCAAGCCCCTCATTGGGCTCCACACTGGGTGTGGAGTCTGCTTTAAAAAAAAAGGGGGGGGCGCCTGTGTGGCTCAAATGGTTAAGCATCTGCCTTCAGGTCAGGTCGTGGTCCCGGGGTCCTGGGATCAAACCCCACATCGGGCTCCCTGTTCAGAGGGAAGTCTGCTTCTCCCTCTCCCTCTGCTTCTCCCCCTGCTTGTGCTGTCTTGCTTTCTGTCAAGTAAATAAATAAAATTAAAAAAAAAAGAAAGAAAGAAAGTCTGAGGCCCATCCACTGGTCCTTATGGCAGCTCCCTGAGGGTTCTGGCCTGCTAATCTCTAGCAGGCAACATGGAGGGTGTCAGCCAGGGTCCAGGCCCTCCTTGGTCTGGAGGCCGGGGCAGAGAGAGGCTGTCCTGGGAATGGGATGAGCAGGAGCAGGCTCAGAAGCTCCCAGGTTGGGATCTAGGCAGTGGTTGAGAGGGTGTCCAGGAGGCCCAAACCACTGGAGATTCAGGAAGAACCAGCCCAGAGTGACACAAGACAGGCAGCGCATGAAGACACCTAGATGAAGTTCCAGAACACTCAGGGCTGGAGCTCAGAAGAGCCTGGCGGGGACGGGGAGGGTGCTGTGCTGACCGGGTGCTCTAAAGTCTGACTACACAGGTGTTTGCTGACATGAAATTTCATCCAGCTGTGTCCTACCTCACTTGCTTTCTGTGTGCCGGACTCAACTCAGAAAGCTAAAAAAGAAACGGGAAGAGAGAGGAAGGGCAGAGGCCCTTGGTGAGGTGCCTGAGCCCCTATTTCCTCAGCCATATGAGAACCTGCTTCAGAGCACAGACCAGCACGTGATGACTAGTTCCTGGTCTGATGGGAGCAGGGGAGGGGCAGGGTATGACAGGAGGCGCTCTGCCAGGATGGAGGGATGGGACGAGGTGGGGAGTCAGGGAGAGTCTCCCTTAGGCACTGTGCTGTGAGGTACACGGCCTTCTCCTCCCCATTGTCTCCCTCCTGGGGAACAGGCCTTGGGCACCAAAGTATTCAGGTAGCTCAAAAATTAGATGTGCTGCCCAGACACACACCCCCTCCCTGCACTCCAGCAGGACCACGAGATCTCCAGCTGTCCTAGACATCTCTGAGCCCTGGCCTCCCCCCATTCTTCCCTCTCTGGTGTGTGTTCTGGTCCTAACCAGGGCTTTGTACACAGAGGGCCCTCAGGGAGTATCTGTGGGTTAGACACACAGATGATTAACTCACATGCACACTCATACACATGCTCACGCTCACACATGGGACTCCTAAAAACTAGGCACTCTTCTGAGAGCCTGACTCCTCTTCCACCATTCTTCCTCCCAGCATCCTGAGGGGAAGACATCATTATCCCCATTTTATAGGTGGGGAGACTGAGGTCTGGAAGTTAGCCAACCTTCCTCAGGTCACAGAGCTGAGGAGAAGCAGATCAGCACCCTTACTCGCTAGATGTGGAGGAAGAGGGTGAAGAGTTCTGTATCCAAGCCATTAGCCATGGAGGACTGGGGTGCTAAGCCAGCAGCTCAAAGGTGAAAGAGACACAGTGCAGTGCATGAATGACACAGAGTCCTGCCCTCCCCTGCTGTGCTTGTGCCGACGTCCAGGTAGCATCTGGCTCCAGGACCTGGAATTCAGACAGTCTGCCTTAGGACTTCGAACCTCACAGCCTTCCGTGCAATCAACAAACACACAGGTGCAAGGTGCTCAGGTGTGAGGTACTGTGCTAGCCATGGAAAATCTGCACCTTCTGGCCTCATGTGTTGGAGTGGGGAGACAATGAGATTGTGCCTCCATGAGGTCAGAATGAAAAGGTGTTGTAACGATCAGGTTTGGCAGGTGCTCAGGACAGGCCTTCCAAAGATGACTTTAGGCTGAGACTCAAATATGAGGAAGCCCTGGAATGAGTGCTATGAATACAGAGGACAGAGCTTAATCAAAGGCCCTGTGGTCAGTCAGAGTGAGTGCTAAGGGCACATGGGAGTTCCTTGGTGAACGATGGGCAGAGAGGGGGCAGGGCCAGGCCACCAGGAAAGCCTCCTCCACCAATGGAGAGTGGTGGGTGGGAAGAGGTCTCCATGAGCCTTGTACACTAATGGAGAGCATTAGGGTTAAGCTGCCTCCTGGTGAGAGCACTTCAGAGCAAGTGGGGTCTCCAGAGCAAAAGGTAGGGAGCTGCAGAGGGCCTGAGAAGGACTGGCAGGAGGGGAGCCGTGCAAGGAAGAATCATGGTGGCAGGGAAGGCTTGGCCCCAGGCAACACTTATTACAGGCCAGAAGATACGTGAGGTGGTGAGTGGGGCAGCCTAGAGGCACCTGTCTTTGGGCAGTGGCTAAGGAAACCAAGAAACTCGACCCAGGCAAGTGAGGGGAGAGCCTCATGGAGTTCATCTGAGCCTGGCCAGTGATCCTGGACAGCAGCTTGGGGTTCAGTTGTGGGTTGATGTCCTGGGGAGGATCTGGCCAGGGCTTCATGGAGCATGTCATTGAACTATCACTCTCAACTCATTTTGTGGCATCCAAAATGCACTGAATCCATGCTCTCAAAACCCAGCTTCTCAAGGCTGATTAGGTAAGGCAGGTTGGTCAGAGTTTTGCCTTTAAATTTTAATGCATTCACTTTCACTCAATAACCCAGCTTGAGGCCAGCACCAGACAGTAAGTGGCAATGATGTGGCCAAAGCTTGGAGGCTTTACCTTCCAACAGGTTTAGGGGCACCTGGGTCAAGGAGCAGGTAATCATGTGCTTGGATGAAACCCCGGGTGATGGCACTCTGTGGAGATGCTGTTGGGAGAGGCACCATCAACCAGCGTCCCTCTGGAGCTCTGTGGTCAGACGCATGTGCACATGTGTGCTGGGTGTCACATAGGTGTGGAAGGGGTATGGCCACAGGTTCACAGGTGTGCCCCCCCACATGCTGTGGTCACATAGGTATGTGTGTTCTGGGGGGTGGCCACAGGTTCACAGGTATGCCTCCCCCAGGTGCTGCTGTGGTCACCCAGGTGTGTGTGGGGGAGGGCTGGCCACAGGCTCACAAGTGTCCCCCCCAGGTGCTGCTGTGGGCACACAGGTGTGTGTGGGGGAGAGGTGGCCATCGCTCACTGGTGTCCCCCCCCAGGTGCTGCTGTGATTACCTAGGTGTGTGGGAGGGAGGGATGGCCACAGGCTCACGGGTGTTCCCCCTCCCCCAGGCGCTGCTGTGGGCACCCAGGTGTGTGGGGGGGAGGGGTGGCCACAGGCTCACAGGTGTCCCCCCCCAGGTGCTGCTGTGATTACCCAGGTGTGTGTGGGGGAAGGGTGGCCATAGGCTCACAAGTGTCCCCCCCCACCCAGGTGCTGCTGTGGGCACCCAGGTGTTTGTGGGGGAGGGGTGGCCACAGGCTCACAGGTGTGACCCAGGTGTTACTGTGGTCACCCAGGTGTGTGTGTGTGTGTGTGTGTGTGTGTGTGTGACTACAGGCTCACAGCTGCACCCCCCCCAACAGGTGCTTCTGTGGTCAGCTAACAAGGTGTTTGAGGAACTGACAGACATCGAGAGGCAGTTCCACAAGGCCTTCTACACTGTGCGGGCCTATCTGAACTGTGACCGGTACTCGGTGGGCCTCCTGGACATGACCAAGGAGAAGGTGAGGTCTCAGTGCTCCACAGGCCTCCTGGCCAGCCTTGTCCTGCTCCTGTGCTGACTCACTGACTCTGTCCCTTCTCTTCTCTGCTCAGGAATTCTTTGACGTGTGGCCTGTGCTAATGGGAGAAGCCCAGCAGTACTCAGGCCCACGCACACCCGATGGCCGTGTGAGTCATGGTGGAGGGGGGACAGGCCCAGCCCGCATACCTCTGTTTCCCTGGTTCCAACTCCAACTCCAGGGTGGGAAGGGGCCTGTCCCAGCCTGACCGAGGGTGGGAGAGGGAGGGCTATGGGAAGGGTGTGGGGCAGTGGGGACAGATGGTTGTGGGCTGGCTGGCTACCTGACTGCTCTGGAGGGCAGGCTCTGAGCGCTTGTCTGCTGCCTCCCCTGACTCCAGCGCATGCTCCGGGGCCGGGTGGGGGCAGGTGCAGATCTCCCGATGAGGGTCATCAGCCCAGTGGGAATGGCCAGCATCTGTCCTTCTGCTGCCCCACCCTTAAATCACTGTAGCGTCTCCCATGTGGGACCATGCATACGTGTATGTGCAGTGTGTGTGCACACCTGTGTGCATGAGTGTGAGAAAGGCAGTGTGACAAGTACAAGGGAGCATGGCAGATACTTCTGCCACGTACTGTACATCCAATCTGGTACACACTACCCAGCCCAGCCATGCTTCAGTTTCCCCACCGGTCACAAGGGGTGATAACTGGGCCTTTTCACAGGGTTGTGTGCCAAGTCCCTGCTCATGGCTTGGCTGTGACCGTGACTTGTCACAGTTGTGTGTGTGTGTGTGTGTGTGTGTACTGGCCTGGGTGTGCATACATGTGAAGGAGTATGGGGCCCAGTTTGTGTGTGGGCTTGAGTGGGACACAGACAGAATGAGGACAAGTGTAAACCAAATGTGTAATGTGTGTCCCACGAGTGTCAGCGATGGTCTGCATGTGTGTACATAAAGTGCATGCGTAGTTGTGTGTAACTATGTGGATGTGGTGTATGCTCTGTGTGCACATCCATGTGTGCATGTGAGTTTGTGTGTGACTATGTGAGTGTGGGTTACGTGTGCACGTCCATGTGTGCATGTGAGGTTGAGTGTAACTATGTGAGTGTGGGTTACGTGTGCAC